CCCTCTGTTCAAATTTTAAGATAGGGTCATGCAAAGTTGCCCAGGCTAGACTCAAACTTGCCATCCTCATGCCTCAGGCTCTCAGAGTACCACCATGACTGACTCTAAATAATTTTTTAAAGCAAAGGCACCATTGAACCCATAGCATCTAAAACTGCCTTTAATCTAATCCTTTTATATCAGTAAAGATTTGTGTGCCAATGGAAGGTCTATATGGGGAAAATGGAATATAAACAAAGAAGGGCTCTACTGATTTATAATATTTTTTGCTTTATTCAAAGCATTTTCAGTCTCATTTGGCCTCCCCTACAAAAAAAAAAAACTTATTGGTTAGTTATTTTAAATCTCAGCTTTTATAGATCAGGGGGAATTCATGTGTGGAGAAATTCAATGACTTGTGTGATAGCACACAGCCATTATACACATCGGAACATTTACTTCTCCTAACCTCCAGATCTATGTTGTTTGTGCAAAAAAAAAAGTCTTCATACAAAGCCCCAATAACATGAGTTCACTGTTAACTTAAATGAGAAACTGAAGTTTCAACCTATATGATAGGGTGCTTTGTAAATGGCCAGCATAAAGGACCCGAGGTGATGGAATTGTTACAAATCTTGACTGGTTGTGGTCTCTCCAGGGAGGGTTTGGAGAGCCTTTCCTGAGCTCTTTATCCTGCTGGTTGAGAAGCGCTGCCTGAAGGTTGAAAGTGGGCAGTGAAGTGGTAGTTATATTGACAAACCACACGGACAGCAGTAGTTCCCTGGAAAAAGAAAAATTCCTTTCCACCACCCCCTCATTAAGGAATGGAAAAGAATTTCACTTAAGGCAAAAGCAAAAAGGTAAATTTGCCCATTCTTACCCTTTGTCTCCGAACTCTTGCCTGCCAATTATTTAGGTGTGTAAATAAAAATGATGTAGTACTGTAGAATTGCCCAGAGACACTGAGAACCTGCCCCCACTTCATGGGGTGCTCTGAACAGGGTATTTCACTTCTCGAAGCTTCAGTTTCATGGAAATGACAAGAGTACTATTTCCCAGGACTGTTTTGAGAAGTGGCTAAAATCACACATTTAAATGTACCTGAACATAAATGTTCTCTCTGGAACATAGCGAGTGTTCGATTTTTTTAAATTTTGTGCTTTAGGCCTGAAACATTCAAAATATGCTAAGTACTATCAGTTACAAATTCTACTGTGCTGCTATTTCTATTTCACCTCATATTACGTACTGTACTATTGTTTGATTGATTAGTTCATTCATTTCTAAACTAGTTTTCACTGAAGGTATGGTCATTTTTTCAGCTTTTTTCAGAGATTCATTAACATTGTAGTAATTTGAAGGTGAGTTTAGCTTGTTAACGTTTTGCCTTTCAATTCCTTCTGTTTTATTACCTGTGCCCATTTGGGAAGCTTTCCTTTAGTAAAATTTGATCCATCTTTCACCCCTTTCTCTGTCAAATATCTCTCATTCGATCATTTCTAAGACAAAGGCAGGCAATTCCTTTTAATACTACAAGCCAAAATGTTTTATTTAGCTTACATCGCTGATAAGGGACTCCATAGTGACATGCTGGCACTATGAGATGGTAGGGCTGAGATCTTAACAACAGAAATCACTTCTTGACTTTACAAAACTGTATTTCTGACTTCTCCTCATTTATAGCAAAATGTTAGTGATATATCAACACTTCCTTTAAAAACAAATCACAGAGCCAGGTGTGCTGGCACATGCCCATAATTACAGAAAACTGGAGACTAAGGCAGGAGGATCATGATGAAGCCAGCTTGGATTACATAGCAAGACCCTGTCTCAAATCCAAAAAATTCCCTTTTGTTGAGAGACCTGCATTTAACTTATAACTATTAATTATTGAGCTGACTATTGGACTTCCTAGAAAGTCACCCAGTGTAATAATTCAAGGAAAATACCCCATTTTCACATGAATCTAGGAATTAATCAGACCAGATAACTCTACTGGGACATTCTATTTGTTCTCATTTCAGAGCTGATATGATCTGTGCCACAGCGGATCCCCTACAAAGACTAAATACCATAAGCTATAAATGTCATTTCTTAGATTGCAATGAACCACAAACTCTAGCCCAATATACTATTTTTGTTTTGTGTCTAGTAAAGGAATAAAAAAATTATATTTTTGTTCATTTATTTTCATTCAATACTTATTTTGTTTTCAGATTATTAAAATGGACAATGTATATACAACTGATAAATTTTTAATATAAAAGTTCAAATACACAAACGACCATAAGCTATAAATCTACTATATATATTTTAGCATATTTCACCTCAATCTTGTCTCTCTATGATACTTTTTCATAGTAGAAAGTTATGTCCTGGCTTTTTGACAGTATTACATCATGATGATATTTTCATTAAATATCATTTTATTGATGGTATATATAGGTATACCACCAGACGCTCAATCGTTTTGGTAAATAGGTTTGTAACATTTACTGTTTTGCTTTGATTTTTTTTTTTTTTTTTTTTTTTTTTTTTTTGGACTGGGAATTGAACTCAGGACCTTGCATTTGCAAGGCAGGTGGCGGCACCACTGAACTAAATCCCAGGACCTTGTAACATTTAATTTTAACAAATGCTTGTCATGGTCCATTCCTACTGCTACAGCAAATTATCATAGACTGGATTGTTCATAAACAACAGAGGTTATTTCTCATAGTTCTAGCAGCTTGAAATGTAAGATCAAGGTGCCAGAGTATTTAGTATCTGATGAAGATGTGGTCCTCATAAATGATACCTTCTCTGTGTTTACAGCTAGTGGGAAAGAACACTCCCTCCAACTCTCTTTACAGGGGCGCTAATCTCATTCTCGAAGGTGAATTCCTCCCAATTTCTCATTTCTTCCCAAAGGCCCCAATTATTGATGCCACTTGAAGCAAATGCACATCCCCATAGTATGATAGGAACTTGGTAATCATATTTTACCCAGCATAACAACCCGAAAAGGTCAATATATCAAACCTACCACTTTCATTATAGGTTTTAGAGTCATAGAACTATTAAGTGGTAGATACAGATTCTAAACAGATGTATTGGCAAAAAAAAAATGTGTGCATGCATGTTTGTGTGTGCATGTGAGTGTATTACAGTGCCCCCCCCATCATCACCTCTACCACTACCACTTCTTTTTTTTTTTTTTTTTTTTATGATCCA